TATGCAGTGAAAAAGGTAAGAGTAGATTATGGAACAAAAATGGCACGGTGACAAAAACATACTCCAATATGAAATTAGAACAATTCCCTACGCCTTTCACCACAACCAGGTATTTGATGGTAAGCTGGTTAATTCCCTGGGAAAATCATATCCATTTTTATTTCACTAGGAGCGGATGCTGAGATTGGACGATGAGGGCATTTTTGGGGATGGAGGTAGCCACTACTGTAATCGACGGTTGGACTGTGTGCTAGTTCTTCAAACCATTTCTGTTGGTATATTTTTCTTGGCTTGCACTCACACAACACTGAACTTCCAAAAGGAAGTTTGAGACACTGCAGAGCGTTGCATCATTGGTTCTAATCCACCATGCATGGATCCGGCTGGCTTAGAGGCTTCATTTACATTTGACCCATGAAAATGCCTGAAGTTACACTACGTTTTGCAGCCCAAGCTCAGCTTCTCTGGCAGTCTGAGGTTGGTAGCAGGTAGCTGTGAGTATGAAGTGGCCCTGCAATGACTGATGCAAAGCAGAGCGTATCCCAAACCAGCTTCCTAACAGCTTCCAAACGGACCAGGGAAGTTAAGAACTGCCTGCGTGACCACGATGCTTTTTGCACGCACCTTCAGAATCCATTGTGCTTACAGCAGAGCACACACAATTTGTGCTTGGTGCCTCCAGGTGGATGAGTGCTTCAGAGTGAGACTTCATAAACATGGCCCCTTTCTAATTTGGAAAATGACTGCCATTTATAAATATTTTGTATTTATTTCTGATGAGTTTTCCGGGGTCTACCTCTGAGAGAGACACAGCTGAAGTCATTGAACCGATTAGACATTAGAAAAACGCATTCATATATAATCTAGGATAACAGAGCAACCTCTGATTTATGACTCTCTCAGTTGCTGGATCTGCTAGTGAGGAAAGCAGCACTACTCCAGCAGTCTTCAGCAGAGGCATCACACCGCCGCTTTCTTCCCCATAACCCGCTGGCGGCACCTCCATCGCCCTTCACTCAGCTCAAGCTCGTCCAGCTGGGGCTTATTCATCCCAAAGCATCCACCAGAAATGGCCTGTAACAGCCCAACAGATATGTGAAGTGTTCTGGGACTCTCTGAGAGGAGTCTCACTATGGACTGTTTCAAAAACCACGCAGTAAATAGGTTTGGCACGGAGAAAGAAGAGAGGACGATTTGGTGGCGGTGCTTTTTCCACAGTTCATCTCTGCCACGTCGCGGATGCTCACAGAGTGCCTGGATCCTTTTGTTTGCACGTGATGAAGGAGGCTGGAAATGTTCGGTGTAGCGCTGAGCCAAGTCCCACTGTGCCCGCAAACTTTGTGCAGACTGAACAGAGCAAGACGTGCCGAAGAACAGCGCGACTCCCATTTAATGCCATCATTGTGGCGTGCGATTGTATGCTAGCTCACATCCCGAGGAATCATAGCCACCCACCCTTAACTTGAAGGTTATAAGTATTTAAATGGCTTTAACTGAAAGTATTGATTTTCAGAAGCAAAATTAAAACACGGTTGTTTTCCAACCTCTTAAGAGCATTAACAGAAGAGCTAAACAAATCTCCTTGCCAATGTAAAGTCCTATTCCTATTGCCAGCCTTTCTGTCTGGCTCCCGATTTTTCACTGTGACACCGAAAATGCCCCTAAAATACAAGTTATCTGTGAAATTACAGTTATTGTAGCATCCCTCTTCCACAAAAAGGGAAACCGAGCAACCAGCTGCCTAAAATAACAACCCTGTGCAATCCGGTCGCGCATTTCTGATGCTCTTGTATTCACCTCCCCTAACCCCGTGCTACCATGATAAGCATAACCATTTTCTCCCTTGTGCTATATTTTGGGCATATGCTGGAATTTGATCCAGAAGTCGCCGTTTGCTAAGGATAAGTAATGGCTTTAATGCCACACACCGACACCCGAATCTTATCAATTTTTCCCCGTTTCATTTCTTCCAATAACCCAACCAATTGGTTTGAGCAAGCAATTCAGAAAAAAAATAAATGTAATAGAGGTCCCTCTTTTCAGAAAGGTACTTCTGTCCAATTGCTTTCATCTCGAGAATACAGCTATGAGGTCTGTTTCTAGGGATGTCCTTCAGCAGGCAGCAGGAATTGTAAAATCAGTCACACAAATGGCCTACCACATATAAAAATAACCAATATATCAACAGGGCTGAAGCCAAGCAGCAGTTAAAATAACTACCGGATCAGTAACGCTAAACTTACAACGCAGCTCAACAGATACACCTAGAAAGAAAAAGAGCAGGCCATTTTTAGCTTGATTTATGCCACTGCTTCGTTTTTTATTCAAGACGCAAAACATTCTGAAAAGTGAATGCTAAAAATTGGAAAAGATTGCCATAACAACATGAAATACAACGAAGTGCAAAACGGATAGGGAAACATTCCTGTCTCTAATGAGACAAATGCTAGGGCTGAGATAAATTTGAGATCCTCTCCGTGGTGGCAGAGCCTTCTTAGGCAGACGCTGCAGGGCTGGCTCCCGCCGCCTGCGGTTTTGCTTTCTTCTATGCCACTGCTTTAGGGATAAATCCTACCCTGTCAGTCCAGGAGTGACTCAGCAACTTGTCTTTAAGTTGAGCTGCATTTATTTGTAGTTGCAGTTTTGCTGAAGTTTTGAACGCGCATTTTTGGAGAGCCTGGAGGATGGAGGGAGGTAAGGGAGGTAATAAGACGTATGGTTGAAATGACTTTGATTGCAAAAGAATATAAGCCCCTCACCCTGTTCTGAAATCCCTCTGCAAACCTTCCTACGTTGGCATAATCTTTCCTGTTTATAGGGAAACAAGTTTGTTTGTTTGGAGCCCCCCAATGATGAAGTGCAGCTACACGTGGCTCTTTATGCTGCAAGAGTACCCGGGGTGATAATGCCCTGCTCAAAGCTTGGACGGAACACATCTCGCAGACAACTTGATGTGCTGCACGTTTGCCAGGTGTTGGATGATGTTAACACTTGCTAACACAGGAAGCAAAGAAGGATCTGGATAGGATGAAGGTGAATTAAATACTCTGTTGTGTATTAGAGAAGGTTAACCTGCCTGTTCAGGTGGAAAAAAAGCTTAAGGACAGCATAGTTAGCGAGATACACATTTGATCTCTCCTAGAAAGCACAGATTGAAATCCCACTCTGCTTGAAATCCTGATGAGAATTCACACCGACTTCAGCGGGGCCAGCGCTTAGCCTATAATCAGCACAACTTGATTAGACAGTGCAAAAATATCGTCCTAGCTAAAGACAATTATTTCCAGTATCTCAGGTGGAGCTCCAGGAAAGGAGGGGACAGACTTTATAGTGGCGATGGAAAAAAGGGGAAATGGCTTCAAGCTCAGGGAGGGCAGATTCACGTTAGATAGAAGACAACAAAATCTTTTACGGTGAGGGCGGTTTTGAGTCGATTCACCGCTTTTGAAGGACTGAAGATGAATTTCCCCCGCTAATGCAAATCCGAGTAAGTTTTACGCCGTGCCGGCAGCTGCCGGGCACGGAGGAGCACCGATCCTTTCCGTCAGAGGGTGTCGAGGCGCGCAGGCACCGACAAACGGCGGTCGGGAGGAGGGACGTCGCTCCCAGCGCTCTGCCCGTTGCCCCGTGCCGCCGCGAGGGGGCGCCGCTGAGCCGCCGTCACGGGGCTGTCAGCGCACAAACCCGTGTGTCCTACACAGCCTTGATGTTTGTGTTGTGAAGATTGAGTATGTTGTGGGGACAGGGACAGCTGTTTTGGCTTAAGAAGAAGAATATGTGGCTCGGAACGCCGGAAACCTTCCAGCCACACCTTTTCCCTCTGAATAAATGGGATTGTTTTCACACCCGTTTGTGCAGCACAGCATACAGCAAGCACTCCTTGTATGTTGGAAGCGTGGTTGACTATTGACTAAATAGCAATTGAATTAAAGAATGTGGATTAGAGAAGGCACTGAGACGTTGAGTGGGTCCAAAGGAGGGCTGCTAAGATGATCAGAGGCTGGAGCACCTCTCTTATGAGAAAAGGTTGAGAGAACTGGGCTCGTTTACTTGGAAGAGATCTCATAGTGGCCATCTAGTACTTGAAGGGAGGGGGCATGGCTGTTTATGAGGGTGGATCGTGATGGGACAAGGGAGAATGGTTTTATAATGAGACAGGGGAGGTTTAGGTTGGATATTAGGAGGAAGTTTTCAGCCAGAGGGTGGTGAGGCACTGGAACAGGTTGCCCAAGGAGGTTGTGGATGCCCCATCCCCGAAGGCTTCAAGGCCAGGCTGGATGTGGCTCTGAGCAGCCCGGTCTGCTGGTTGGGGATCCTGCACATAGCAGGGGGTTGGAACTATTCAGAAAGCAGCACCAGCTCACACCAGTAGCTGTAAGCTCTGCTATGATGCTATTTGTCTCCCAGAATGATTCCCTCAGAACATTAAAGGGAACGTCAGGGTTTTGGTCAGCTGAGAGATCAGCTGTCACCGAACCCTCAGCAGGATCTCTTGCGCTTTCAGATCTCCCTTCTTTTCCCACCTGTCGCTGCTGATGTCCATAACAACATGCAATAAAAGCATTCACAGTTCTGCAGTGATAAAAATTAAAAAGGAGAGCAGTCCAACTTTCAGGACAGTAAATTAAAAATGATGCTACTTCAGGTGAATTCCATCACTGAAGTCTTTACAGAATACCCATGTCCTTAGCTAGACGTATCTAAAATCTCATGGAAGGTCTTCCTAGTGATTTCTATGATGAGCAACACGGCAGAGAAGCGTTCGCAAAGCTCCACGAATGAATGAATCCTGCGAGAAGGAGAAGCACACAGCAAAATTCAAAGTGCAATTGAAGTCCGTCATTCAGATCTAGAGTCCACGTGTCTACGTGTCAAAGCCCCGGGCCCGTCCTAACGAGGCCCGGCTGCGCTAATGAGGCAACGACCTCCAGGTGCCGGGCACAGCTGCACCTCGTCCGGAGCTCAGCGCAGGGCCCGCCCCAAAGCCTCTTAAGCTCCTCCGGGGGTTGCCGGCAGCCACAAGGGAGCTCTGAGCAGTTTTTTTGCCGTGCGAGCCGGAGCCTGGTGCATTTCTTTATCCGCTCTTCGTGCTGTCGGGGCTGAGAAGCACCGCGAGGGACTGCTTTGGAAACGAAGCTTTGGGGTTCTGTTTAATGTTCTGTTTCTTATTTATATTTTTTGTTTTCAGGCTGCGGAGTGGCGTAAGGATCCCCCCCAACGGATGAGCCGTGCTGATAGCAATGAGAGAGCGGAGGCGGTGAACCCTCGGTAGCCCATAGGGGCTCTTTGTTCGGAGTAAGAGGCTGCCGGGCTCTCACCGTGCTCTTTTTGGGGCCGGTATAGGGTTATCGCTGGGCTCCCCTGGCTTTTCGGAGCCGGCGTTGCATCGCTGCCCGCTTTCTGACGTGTTTGGTTCCCTCATTCCCCCCCACCCCGGCTTTTTTAGCGAGCGCTTCAGTTCCTCCCGCTCACCTTAATGAGAGCGAACGGGACGGGGCTGCGTTCCTGCAGCCTCGACGGTGCTGGGAGCGAGAAGCAACGCAAAGGGCTGCTAAAGCCAAGTGTTCTTTTATTGCAGACGGAGCGAGGGCTGCGGCAGAGCCTCATCCCAAAGCAGGGGGCATTTAGGAGTCAGTAGGTGAGTTCCTGCTTCTAGCAGCAGGATGGGACTGTGTGTTTCTACCTTTCTTATGCGTGTCTTCAGGAGCACGATCTCATTCCTATCGTGGAGACACAGTGGGACAGCTTGCGTGACTGCAATGCTGTGTTCTTTTTCAGAATGACAAACCAGCAGGGTGATGGAGTTGCTGTCCAGGTGAGAGAGCTGGATTGAGCCCTGAAGAAGTAGGAGAGCACTTGTGTGGGACTTAATAAGCAGGTAAAGGTGCGTAACATCCTTGGGGGGTGTTGCTTACAAACCAGGATGAGGAAGGTTAAAATCTTCTGTGCTCAGCTGAAAGCAGCTTCACAGCTGCTGGTGTTAATTGTCAGGGTAGATGGAACCTCCCTGCCAGTTGTTAGGAAAGCAAGGTTGCCAGGCATGCTTATTGCAGGAGGTGTCAAAGGTAAAATTTTAGACATGGGTGATGGAGGAGCTTGTTCTGCCTATTGAGGGAGGGTTGAGTTCAGTATCTGGTGTGGAAGGAGCAAAGCAGTAAGTAGGATTGAGACGCTGGACTTCTAGGGAGCCTGCTTTGTCCTCTTAAAGGACCTAGTTTGAGTTATCCCTGCAGTTAGAGCATCGGAAGGGGTCATGCAAGTGGTTGTCAGTGCAGTTTCTTCCTCTGTGCTCAGGAGTGCATCTCTAGGAGCAAGAAAATGAGGAAAAATGGTGGGAGGGCTACATGGGAGAACAAGGAGCCTGTGGAAAGGGGGCAGGAAGAGATGGGATGAGGCAGGCAAAGGTCCACTTAATATCACTTTTGGGGAGGGAGGTCAAGGATAAGAGAAGTCTGCAAGCTTGTGAACAGCAAGAAGGAGACTAGAGATGGTGTGGGCCTGCTGCCTTGTTAGGCGGGGGCCTGGAATGCCTTCTGTGCTTCAGCCATCAGTACTGAGACTGCAGAGACTGCTCCTTGAGAATCCTGGATCCCAGGGGAAAGAGTCTTTGAGGAAGGATGACTTCTCGATTGCGGAGGACGTAGGTGAACATCGCCTAGGCAAAAGCGATGCCCACAGATCCCTGGGTTCTAATAGGATGCGCCAGCGTGTGCAGAGGGAGCTGGCTCTCTATCACATTTTGTATGATCTTTGTTATAGGAAAGATTCCTGAGGATGGGAGGATAGCCAGCTTCCTTGCAGCCTTCAAGAAGGGCAAGGAGGATGGCCTCATCTCTGTCCCTGGATCAACTTGTTCTGGATGTTGTCTCCAAGCAACTTGAAGAAAAGAGATTTCTATGGGGTAGTAAAGGTGGATTCACCGAGGGGAAATCAGGGCAGACTGATATGGGAGCCTTCCATGTTGTTACGACTGTCTCCTCAGATGACAGAATAGCAGGGGATGTTGCACGCTTGACTTCAATGAGGCTGTTAACACTATATTTGTGGCAGCGTGCTTGGTGAGCGCAAGGAAGATGGGCAGACTCAGCATTGCAGTTGGAAGCTGAAATAGTGTTATGTGGGGTGGGTACTGCATCTTACTGTGCTTATATTTCATCGGTGACCTGGATGGAGAGGGAGCTGATGATGCAAAGCTGGGAGGAGCAGCTGACAGAGGGACCCTGTGAACTTCAAGGAGAGCAAGTATGGGGTTGTGCAGTTAATGTGCACCTGTATGTTAGTGAGTGGTTTGCTGGAGAGGAGACCTGAGGGGGACTTGGTGTTCAGCTGTGAGCTCCAGAAATCCAGTCTTATGCTGGGGTGGGTGAAAATGAATGAGAGCAATGGGATTCTACCCTGTTGATCCTGTGTCTGGACTACTGTGTTCACTTTGTCTCTGCAGGTCAAGAAGATGAGAAACTTTGTAGAGAGTGCAGCAGTACAATAAAGAAGATGAGGGGCCTGGAGCATCTCCCTTCTGAGAGAAGGATGTTCAACAACCTATGGCTGCTTCACCAAGAGAAGGGAAGGTGAGCGGAATCTCCCTACTGTTAGTAAATTTGTATAGTGTGGGTGTTTTGTTGATGGGGATGATATTCATGGACTTGAACACCATAAGTTTTTTACAAACAGAAGGAGGAATGATTTTTCTGTGAGAGCAATGGTAGAGGCTGGCTGAATGTTCAAGTTAAGTCAGGATGCTTTCCTGGGTAAGGTGCTGTAGCAAGGGAGTGTGACAAGATAATTTTTAGAGGGGCCTTTTCAATTCTCTACAGCTTTGTGGTTTTTTGATCTGGTTTCAGGGTGAAGGCTGCAGATGGAAGTTTCTTTGCAAGGATTGGCCTGAACATGAGGTGTTTCATCAGCAGTGAGTAGTGGGGGTGTGAGCCTTCCAACCTGAGGGCCACTTGGTGGTGTTTCACAGAGCTCTTCTAGGTTCAGTGCTGGAACTAGGATCCTGGTGGTGAGTTGTCTTTGTTTGTGACCTGTCTGTGCTGTCCCTGGGATGGAGTTTACAGCTGGCATTGTGTCTTTTGTCTTGGCAAAGATTCATTGTGCTTTTCTTTCAGCCCTGAAGGTGTTGTCTTGGAGCAGTGGAGATGCAGCAGCCCTTGTTCAGGAGTTTGGAATTGTCTGAAGAACAAGGTCACAATTGTTGATGGGGAGCTGCACTCTACTAAAGGTGAAGAAGTGCAACTGACTGAGGAGGTAGATGGTGTCCTTGGTTGAGGTGGCTCTCCCATGTTGAGCTTTGTTTTTGCTCCCTGTGTTGTCTTTTTTTTGTAGAGTTTGGAGGTTGAAGTTCTTCCTTATTTGACTTGAAAACAACCACAAAGCCAAGTAGTGGCTTTGGTGCCCTGTAATAGGGAATGGTATGTGTTAGAGCCACTTCTCTAGGAAGTGGCTGGTTCTTATTGCTTTTAAGGAGTTGTACTGCCTCAAAGATTATATCTTTTTCTGGGTGGGAGGGTGGGTGCTGGTCAGTACTGGATTTCCTGTGTGGTGATGGCTCCTTGGTGGCTGTGTTCCCGGCCTGGAAGGAAGATGCTGAGTTGTGTGTTCTGCAGGAGGAAAAAGTTCAGTTCATTTCGAAGCTGAGGTAAAACCTTTTTTGAAACAATTCTTGGTCTGTAGCTTAAGAGGCTGCTTTGATTTATGTAGTATTTACTGTGCCTGGGGGGTGAAGTTAAAGGTTTTAGATAAGAGGCTGGAGGTGAAAGGTGCCTGTAGAGCATGTACAAGGCTGTGTCCCATGTATTCTATGGATGTTTGTCAGCAGTAGTGACATCTGAAATAACTGGGATGGTTAGGAAGAAGGAAGGTTGCTGTTCTGTGACTTTTTTTGCCAAATCCTTCTGGGGGGAAAAAATTATTCTAACAGGAAAATAAATGGAAATGCTTATGAAGCCACCTCTTCAGGAGATGTCTGTAAAAAGGCCAGCTCATTTTTCTAGATTAATTCATACGAAAACAAATCTTTGTATGGGTAAGGTTTTACTTGTAGTACTTAAGACTGTGCCTCTCAATGGATGTGCTGAAACAAAACAGCAGGCAGACAACTTAAAAGTTTCTAAATTTAATAAGTGGAAAACTAGGTTTCTCTCTTTAAAAGAGACTTCTCACTTTTGTTTCCTTCTCCACAGTTCTTCAGGAAGAGAACAGAGTTGAACCTTGAAGTTCATTTCAATGCATGCCCCAAAAATACTGGTGACGAAGTTTGCTTTTGTGGGGTGGGAAGCAGGTGAGTATATGCCAGTTTCAGAAGAATTATCAGCTTGCAGCAAACTCTTGGAAAGACTGCTTCTACTGCAGCTGGGAACACTCTACCTTACCTGTGGAATAGGATCCCTGAGAGTATCTGCACTCAAATAGAATGGCTGGACTGAGGTAGCTCAAGTTTTCCTGGTGAAGTGGATACCTGGCTGTCTCCAACTTAAGACAAAAAAGCAGAAAATCTTTGCTTACCTCGGGGAAGAAATAAAGCACCTAACAGCTATTCTGTGAACAGCTGATGTGTGCTTGGGACTTCTTTCCTTGCTGCTGTGATGTGAGCTTATCTCAGCAGGAGAAAGGGGAGGACAATGACTGCTTTTGCCATTGGCCATTTAGCATTGTATCTTTTCTAATAAAAAAGAGAAAAAAACGTGGAGCTTAAGCTAATAGCCAACACTTTCACAGGTTATCTACTTCAACAATACAGCATGCCAGACTTGTTTGACTCACCAAATGAAACCAGGATACTTCTCCAGTGTTTGTGTTGTTGGAGCTGAGTTGCTGGAAATTAGCACTTGCTGAATTTGGTAGAGCTTCAAGTGTGGAGGTGGGTGTGCTATCCTGAGAGCAGAGCAGTGTTGACTGTCTTGCAAAACAACTGCTGGTTTCTTGCTAGGCAACTCAAACCAGTGCAACTCAAACCAGTGTGTCTCAGTGATACCCTTTGCATCAAGTCATGGTAAATTGAGTGGCTGTGATCTTCAGTCCTAAACAGAGACCATGCTCTAATGCAAATGAATTACACATTGTACTCTTACTCCTTTGTAACTTAAATGCCTCTGCCTTTGCATTATATGCTTGCATATAGTTTATTGCAGGCTCTTGGATACATAAAGACACAATTACGTATTGTCTTCCCTTTTAATTAGTTAATGACTCAATTTTGCTGTGCTTGAAGTGTGATAGCTGGATAACTGAGGATAGAAACTAGAGTTAATTTACTTACTGATATCACTTAACTAATGACTTAACTCAGTGAAACTCCTGTGAAGTAACTAGGTTATTTTACTCCTTAGTTCAAGCAGATAGCTGCAGGCAGTTAACCTGTTACTTCTTGTGATAAACAAAGCATATGTTCTTTGCCTGAGCAATGTCTACAATGGATTTTACAGAGATCTTTATAAAGAAACAAATTTCTCCTGGCATAACTACTCACAGAAATGTCCCTTTCTCGTTCATACAGTCAGAAAGCAGTGTGGGTTGATGTGGGAATGGAATGTTGTTTCTGCATTTGATATTAAAAAGTAGCGATTGGTTTGAAGAAGTAGAACATAATGCATTTATATTCTGTAACTTATCCTTAGAAATAGTTGATCTAAGAAGTAAAATACTGCATATGTTAGCGGCATGTTTTAGAAACATAATTACTGAACTATGTGATTAATTCTTTGTTGCAAAACTGTAATAGTTCTCAAATGTTTCAAACAATGTGAGTATAGTGTGCTAAGGATTAGAAAACATCGTAGAGCTGTTCTCTTAGCATAAGAAACTCTCAGCGAAAGACAGACAGATATAGCAAACATCAGAGAAGTTAGGGCCTCTACACAAGGCTGGACTGTCTCACTCCATGAGAAGGTTGGGGTGTGAAGGCAGGCACCAGGATCCTCCCCTGCCTCTCTCCCTAGCTTATCTTTGTAGAAAGGAGGACAAGCAGATATCTGCAAAATAACGATCAGATGTGGAATAAGTTAATTAACTACAGATTGACACTTATGCAGCAAAAATCACAGAATCACAGAATTGCCAGGGTTGGAAGGGACCTCAAGGATCATGAATCTCCAACCCCCCTGCCACATGCAGGGCCACCAATCATTCCACCTAATCCTAGACCAGACTGCCCAGGGCCCCATCCAATCTGGCTTTGAACACCTCCACGGACGGGGCATCCACAACCT